TGATTGGAAAAGATTGAATTTTGTTTAGATGATAATAATGATAATTATCTTGAATATATAATAAAATAGAATTTAAAAAATCTCTTTATATTTTAATTTAATGATATCAAAAATTTTGGTCAGCTCTAAGTTTTAGATATAACAACGTTTTTGTACAAAATCAAACATGAAACTTTTTCATATTTATCATTTCTTAACAAAATCAAAAAAAAGATTTATTAAATTAAGAATTAAATTCCAACAGAATATCTTTGTATACTATAACTAAAATTACATAAGAACTAAAACGAAATGTGCAAATAAAAAAAACAACCACGAGATGTTTTAAATTTTCGTGTTGAAATGAATTAATTGTTTTTTTTTTCAAAATAATTTTATGTAAAATTTCTCATGAAATTCTAAGTTAATTAATCATAATTGAAGTTCATATTCAGATATCTCTGTTTTACTCGTCTATAGGATATTAATATGATTAAAGTCATATAATATAATACAAAATAAATAGTTTAATCGAAATTTCGAATCATTAGATAAGATTACTTTTTTATTTTTATTCTCAATTTTTGATATTCCTGATGCCCATGAATGAAATTTAAGATAATAAAGACGTGGTGCTTGATCAAGTAGAATTTGTAATTGAATTAAATCATTATCAAAATTACCCCAAGTAATCATTCGTATTTCAAGAAATATTAAATTATTAAATTGAGGAATTAATAATCGTAAATGATTATCATGAGGAAGTGTTAATGTTAAATGTTGAATATTTGGAAATTTAATTTCAGGTAAATAAATATCTTCAGATGTTGTATAAGAATATTTTAAATATTGAACATGATTATATGTTAAATAATTTTTATCTTGTGGAGAAGTTGATTTAAATAGAAAATTTTCATTAATATTAATAGAAAAATTTTCAAAAATATAAGGTAATGTATGAAGATGAATAAAACTACTTTCATTTTCTGTATAACAAAAACATCGAATAAACCATTTATGTTGATCAATCCAAAATTGATTTTTATATGAATCAATAATTCGATCTATTTCTTGTTCAATATCATCATAATCAGTAAGTTCAAATTCCATTTTAAGATTAAATATTTTTAAATTAGGTAAATATTTATTAAGAATATCTTTCCACATATGTCCATCCATATGCATTATTTTTGTTTCAATTGTTAAATTAATTAAATTTGGTACTTTTCGTAAAACTGCTTGAATTATTCTTGATGAACTTTCACATTTTAATTTCATTTTTGTTAATGAAGGTATTAAAGATAATTGATAATGATCATCATATGGATCCCATAGATTTATAGAAATGTATTCAATATATGGAGTATGTTCATATAAAAGTGATAAATTATCTAAATCACATTGTACACCTGACATTGATAAATGTTTAAGAGTACATGATATTACATTTGGAGGAATTAAATGACAAACATCTTCAAAATAAATATCTAAAT